ACATCTAGAAGATGTTCAACAAGTTGATGAAGTGAGAAATCACAAAATGAGGAGAGAAGAGAGGGGGGGAAGGAGAGAGAGAAGGCAGGATTGTGGCTTAGTGTTCAAGCCTACTCTTTGTCCTGAACACCTGCCTCTGTACCTGTAGAAATAGCAATTGGCATCTTATAGGAGATGAGCTTTCACCTTCGGTCTCTCCCCACAACCTGTTTCTGTTTTCACTGGATCCACTTCTTGCTTTCTACTGTGACCCCTTCACATTTGATGCATCAGACTGTCCCTGGCTTCAGGGCTCACCTGTGATCTGGACTCAGATGGGTCAGCCTTTCTCTGGGCCAATGCCAGTCTTATACAAGAGGGAAGAGAGACAAATGAGCCATATCTGCTTAGAAGTAATACACATCACTTTAGCCCACATTCCATTAGTCAAAATGAGTCACATGGCTACTTTTGTGTTCAACAGGGTAGGAATACATAATCCTCCTTGGTTGGGGGGTGGGGGGGTGGGAATCCCTGCAAGTCATATGACCAAGCCTGACATCAGGGAGGCGGAGAAGTAGAATCCTTTGCTAGGGAGGGATGTCAAATATTTTGAACACTAATACAATTTCCTACATAGATTTTATCCTGAGAGCAATGGAAAGACATTGAAGGGTCTTTAGCAGCAACAGGATTCATAATTTTAGAAACCTCACTCTGGCTACAGTATGGAGGATGGTTTGAAGAAAGTCAAAAGTGGATGTTGGTTGGTTATCATAGTGCTAAGGTGGGAGAAAATGGAGACTTGGACTACGGTGATGGCAGTGGAAACAGAAAGAAGTACACGAATTAGATGACATTTTTATGAGATGGAATTTACAAAACCTGGCAATTTGCCAGGTATGGATAGTGAGGAAGAGAGAGGAATCAAAAATGATGCCTAGATTTGACTCTCTGTCCCTTCACATCAGAGGTACCCCCTTTTTTCACTGAATACTCCAAATACTGGTACACCATTTTCCTCTCCATTCCAAATCCTGCCACTATGCCAAGTGACTTCCGTATTCATTTGAGCAATCCATCTACTACCTATGACTCTCAAATCTTTTGCCATCTCTACTCCATGGCCTTCACCTCTACATCTTTTTGGTCATCCTTTCTGATGACTACACCCTAGACCATGTAGTCATCCAATAAGAAATGCCATGCCTCTGAAACCTTAAATTCTAAGATTTCTCTTTGACAACAGCTGACAATCAGACTTTTAAAAATATATATATATTTTAATCTTCTGTACAAATTCCTAATTTTTTCACCTACCTGGAAAAATTCCATTCCTCTTCTGTGAACTCTTCTGGAAGAAATCATATCATCACAAAGAATGGAATCTTCACAAAATGTTGGCCTGAAAACTCAAGTGAGCCCTTAATGCTGCTCTAAATATCTTCTAGGTTTCCTTTTTCTGTAGTTGTTTCAGATAATTAGTCTCCTACATTTTCTTATTCACCTCTTCTCTCCTCACCTTTAGGTTAAGACCTCACCTTCTACTTCCCAGAGAAAGTAGAAATTCTATATGATCTCCCCTTCCCAGAGCTCCTTCAAAGGCAAACTACCCGCTACAGTTCCTGTGGTATCGGTATGGCCAAGACTCAAATCACTGTGCAGCCAAGCTTGGATTAGCCATTGGCTAGCCAGTCACCAATAATTTGTATGCCTGGCTAAAAAAGTATCCAATCTGGTATTTTCCTGAATTTGGAGTTGAGAAACTGAAGCGGCTGAACAAAAGTCAGTTGGGCAGCCAGTATGATCCGCAGGTAAGCAAAAATTATTGTCAAGCAGACACAAAATGTGAACAGAAGTTGGTCAGCAGAGAAATAACAGCAGAGGTACAGGGAGAAGACAGTAATTGGAGAGGGAAAACTTAGTTCCTAGTTGTGAACTCTGTGGGGCCTGGCTCTCCTCGAATTCCTTGCATTCCTGAGATTTTTCATGTATTCTTCTGTGGTAGGCCCTGCTGTTTGACTATCATTGTTTCGCTCTCCTTTTTTCTCTGAATAAAAGAATCCAGATTTTGTTTGGGAGACAATACACCCAATTATATATACATGCCTCCCCAAACCCTCTTGCAGATGGGATAGTCATGTGACCTGATCTGGCCAATGAGATATAAGTGGTAGATGGCTGCTGAGGTATCTAAAAAAGTTTATTCTTAAATTTTTTTTGAGAAAGATTAGCCCTGAGCTAACATCCGTGTCCGCCCTCCTCTGCTTTATATGTGGGATGCCTGCCACAGCATGGCTTGATAAGCGGTGCATAGGTCAGCACCCCAGATCCAAACTGGCGAACCCCAGGCCACCAAAGCAGAACGTGTGAACTTAACTGCTGCACCACCGGGCCAGCCCCTAAAATTTTTTTTTTTATTTAAAAAAAAGGAGAGCCTCAACCGACACATGTCTTTTACCCTTCCTTCCTGCTCAGAGATCAGGCATGATGCTTGAGGAACAGTCAACATCATGTGGCCGTGACAGCAAAACTACACACTGAGGATAGAGGAGCAGGTAGCTAGAAAGACCTTAAATTCTTTGTCATTTCCTCAAGTAGCTGTGTCATCCCTGAACTGCCTACTTCTAGATTCTCCATATTTGAGAAATATAAGATCCCTGTTAGACTAAGCACCTGTATGTGGATCTCTGCACGCAGTTCTAACTGATAAACTCTACTTAGCAAGCTTGAGTAGATCTCTGTTCCTAATAACCAGAATACCCACAACTGAAAAAACATCAAATAGAACTTCCTCCACTTGTCTGCCCACTCACCTAAAAAAATATACATATCCATACAATCCTTTTCTTCCTGGAGGAGGAGACCGGCCTCCTGAAACTTCCTCACACATTTTAGATCCTTTGTCTTCTTCCCAAGAGCCCTGCTCCATCATTGACTCCTTTCCCTTACCTTCAACACCTCTCCGCTCTGTCGCCGCCTATCAGTGTTAAGCCCACTCAAGTCTCTCCTGTTTAAAATCAATTCTGCTCTTAATCCCATCTCTCCTTCTTGTTACCACCATGTGTTTCTTGTCTTCTTCAAAGTTCTATCAGGAATTGTCTTCACTCCCAATTCCCATTTCATTCCCTTTCATTCGCTCCTTAAAAACAATCTTATCCCCAACACTTCCCTGAAAAACTTTTTTTAAAAAAACAGTTTTATTGAAGCATAATTGATATACAAATTTAATACATATTTAATGTATGTGATCTGATGGGTTTGGACACAGGCATACACCTGCAAAACCATCACCACAATCAAGGTAATAGATATATCCATCACCTCCAAAAGTTTCCTTCTGTCCCTTTAGATTTTTTTTTGTCTTTTGTTTTGGTTTTGTGTGTGTGTGGGGTGGGGGGGCATGGTAAGAACACTGAACATGAGATCTACTCTCTCAACAAATTTTTAATCGTACATTACAGTATTGTTGACTGTAAGCACTATGCTGAACAGCAGATCTCTAGAACTAATTTCTTCTTGCATTTAAAAAAAAGAAGCCTCCTGTTGAGGTCTCTAAGAACAGAACACACTCTACACCCAGTTACCTGACTTCTTGCTGTTTCCAGAAGATACAACGCTGTCTCTCACCTTCAGACACTGGTGCAGGCTGTGCCCGGGATGCCCTCCTCACTTTACTCCCCAACTCCACCCGCATTTTCCTGGCTCTTTTTTACAAATCCTTCAGTTCTCAACTCAGACATCACTTTTTCCTAGAAGTGTTTGCTAAAACACCGTAATCCGTTTTGTTTCCAATTAAGGTCTCCATGCCTCAGTTTCCTCAACTATAGAATAGGGATATTAATAGTACTTACCTTAGAGAATGTCATGAAAAGTAAACGAGTTAATATCTACAAACACTTAGAACTCCTGCTTAGCACATAGCAAGCACTATGTAAGTGTCTATTCAATAAGGAAGTAAATAACGCACTTGCTGAAATTACCCCTATCAGAAAATTATCACGCTGCATGGAAATTGCCTGTTCGTCTCACTCTCTAGACTACTGGTTCTCAGCTCTGGCTTTATAGTAGAATCACTTAGGGAGCTTCAAAAAATTCTGATCTCTAAACCATATCCAGACCAATAAGTCGGTATCTCTAAGGATGGTGCCAGATATAAGTATTCTTAACACACACACAGATGATTCTATTATGGACCCAAGTGAAAACCACAACTCTAAGTCCACTAGTTCGAACCCTCAGCTGAACAATAAATTACCTCAAGAGTTTTTAAAAAGTAGTGATGCCCAGGGCCCCACTCCAAACCAAGTTCAGAATTTCTGGAGATGAGGCTGGATATCAGCATTATTAGAATCTTTCACATGACAGTGAGGTTAAGAACTATGCTCTAAACCAGGGACTGGCAAACTATGGCTCATGGGCCAACTCCAGTCTGCCACCTGTTTTTGTGAAGAAAGTTCCATTGGGACCCAGCCACACTCATTCAGTTACAGATGTCTACGCTGTTTCCATGGACAGCAGAGTTGAGTAGCTGTGACAAACTGTACGGCTCCAAAACCCAAAATCATTGCCCAAGACCCTTGTCTCACCATTGCCTCCTGATATGGCATCTGGCAAGCCCCTGAAAAACTATTTATCCATGTTAACCTCTCTCTCTTTCTCATTCTCTCTGTCCTATAATCTAACAGCCAAGATTTTTTTTGGCTTAGCTTTGTGTTCCAATAGGATAAATTCAGCAAGTCTTGGATACATTGTCCTTTGTGGAATGTTCACTAGTTCCAGGATACTTCGGTAAGCGGCTGCAAGCAAAGACTGCTCTTTGCTTCTCCAATAAGCAATGGTCCTCTGGGAGACCTGACATTCTCCATTTAATTACCAGTAACAGAGTCATATTATTTCCTCTGTGCATTACCCCATCTCAGCTGGGAAAGTCACTCCCACAAGCAGAGGATGTGTGTGTTCCCCGCGACCACTGCTGCCCACCCTCACTCTCAAAAAAATAAAAGGAAAAGGAACTTTACTCTCAGTCTTCCCCATTTTGTCTCACGCCTTCTCATTTTCTCAAAACAGTGTTTCAGCTCATTTGGCTCCACGTTACCTCAAAAGAATGAGCCCTTTTTTCAGCCTGTGGATAGAAACCAAGGAATCAGCTACAAATTTAAAATAAGGTCTTTTATTGTTTCAGGTCTTTCCAAACCTTGTCAGGAACGCAAGACCGTAGTGAATTTGGGAGGAGACACAGAGCAGAGCCTCTGGCCCACTGGGAAAGAAACTGGTGAGAATCATCAATTTTACTCCCCAAAGAGGTGTAAACATCCCCTTTCATAGCATGGTGCGATTTCTATTGCCCTCCCTCAGCTGCTAGGGCAATCCCAGATCCCAGACCTGGTCTTGGTATGCTCCCAGGCAATTATTCAACAACTGACTCACCCTGGCTCCTTAGGAATATCAGTTCTCATGCAGCGTAATTTGGTTTCTGAAAAGTAGGACTCATTTCCTCATCTCTCTTCTATTTTCATAGCGGTGCTCTGAGGGGAGAATTCGGTGAGGTATAGAATTGAGTGATAACTGCCAAAGTCCGTCAAACCCGATCCCTCTCCTCCAGGCTTCATCAATAGAGGATCATAGAATTTCAGGACCATTGCTCATGTTCTAAAGGAAGAAACCAAGGCCCAATGAGGGGAAGTCCCTTATGTGACTGTATTTCCAACACCTTATGCTAGGTTTGTCAAATCTACCGTGTCTAGGAGAGAACTCTTGGTTTCTCCCTATTATCCCCAAACTCCTTCCTCCCCATGTAAAGATACAGCTCCAGCATCCTACCCAGTTGCCTAGGCCACAACCTGAGGGTCATCCTTGATCCTTCTTTCATCCAGGCCCCATATCGAATCCATCAGTGAGCCTCCCCCATCCCTCCCAAATCCTTCCATTTCTCTCCATTTCCACTGCTGCTCCCTTAAACTAAGCCACTGTCCCCATTCACATGGAATACTTACTGCTACCATCAGGGAAATTTTTAAAAACCCAAACTCGCTCTTCTCTCTGCTTCCACTCATGACCTGCTACCATGTAGTTTCCATTCAACAATCATACTTATCTTCTGAAATGTAAGTCCCATAAAGACACTCCACTCCTTCAAGTCATCTGATGGATTCTCTTTCACTTACAATAAAATCCGATCTCCTTTCCTTGGCCTATAAGGCTATAGTGTCGTGTATAGAGATCAGGGGTTGTATACAGAGATAAGCGTTTCTCAGCCTCAGTGCTATGGACATTTGGGGCTGGACGATTCTTTTGGTGGGGACTGGCCTGTCCATTGTAGGATGCTTAGCAGCATCCATGGCCTCTCCCCACTAGATACCAGTAGCATACCCCTCCCAAGTGGTGATCCTACCTCTCAATTCAAACTCTCCAAACTCACCTGAAGCCACCCCTGCAAACTACAATGCTTACCATGCCCTGGCTCACTATGCTCAACCACACTGTCCAGCTTTCAAGCTTGTTCCCAAATTTACATTTGCTGATCCTCTGCCTAGAGAGTTCTTCTCCCAGATCTGCACATGGCTGGTTCCTTCCCATCATCCAGGTCTCATTGTAAATCGTCATCTCCTCAGAAAGGTCTTCTAAACCACCCTGCCTAAAGCAGCCCACCCCCCACCCACCCACTCCTGGTTCTCTATCTCATTGCCCAGTTTTATTTCCTTTATAGCACTTCTTAGGACCTGAAATTATCACATTCATTTGTTTATGTCTGTGGTCCTGTCCTAGACTATAAGCCCCATGAGACCTTGCCCCTCCTGCTCACTGCTATTTCCCCTCTGTCTGGCTAGGGATTGCATATAGTAGGCATTCAATAAATAGTTGGTAAAGAATGACTCCATGAAAGGATAAATAAGATTAGAACTCATATCTGCTAGGGCTTTATACAGGACTCCTTCCAAGGCCTCAACACCATGGGAAGCATTTCAATAGAGTGATTATCTATTACAAGAAGTTACCACTGGTTAAGAGTACAGACTTCCTGGGTTCAAATCCCAGCTCTGCCATTCATCAGCTGTGTGACCTTGAGCAGGTTGCTAAACTCTCCAACCCTCTTTCTTGTCTGCAAAATGAGGAAAGTAACAGTATCTTCCTCATAGGATTGTTGCAAAGATTTTAAGTGAGGTAATAAATACAAAACACTTAGAGTGGTATTTTATATTTAAATATGGAAACACTTAGAGTGAGTGCTGTGTGTTTGTTGTTTGTTGTTGTTATGGTATGTTGTTTCACTGCTCACCTTTTCAGGGGACGATGACAACCACTACAGGTTACAAAATTCCCAGTGCTTCCTCATCCATTCACCCTGAGAGAGGAAAAGCAGTCTTATAGAACTTTCTATCAGGGACTTTTTCTCCCTAAAGCTATTCCCTCCAGTTAAAATAAATCTGATTTTTATCTCAGCCTGAGCACAGAACTACTTCTGTAGTAGTAACCTCTAATAGCCCAGAACAATATAATTGCCACTTCTTCGCATTCTCTTCTCCAGGGTAAATAATTCTAATGCTTTGAATGCCTACTTGCTTTTCCCATTTTCTGATCTTTTACATTCACTGTTCTCAGTTTGGAAACAGATCCAAATGAAGAAGGAGGAGAGCTCCTGTTGTCATAGCAACTGCAAAGGGACAGACAATCCAGTTCAGATGAAATAGGAAAAGTTGAGTTCTGGGTTTTTTTTTTCATTTTTCTTTCTGATTGAAAACGTTCTATTGCTCTGAAAAGGAGACACGTGGCTGACATTGTCATTCTTATACCTTGCTCCTGATCCTTCCCCCTCAACACCCCCCACTGCCCTGACAGAAAGGGGGAATTGTCAACGAATGATGAGAGAAGGTGCTTGGTGACACCTCGCTTGAAAAGCATCCCGTTATTACCACTTCTAAAGCTTAGTTTTGTATTCACCCAAAATAGTACACAGCCTCTCTCCCTAGTTCTCTCTTGGTTTGCGTTATAGTTAAACACCTGCCTATCTCCAGCTAAACTGATAAACTCCTAAAGATCAGGGATGGTATTTATTCCTTATATTTTTTTAAAAACAATCTTTTTTAATTACACAAATAAAACAGCATTATACAATAACTCAAACAATCTACACACATAGCCCTTCATGTCATCACTAGTTCCACAGCACACACATACACATACACACATACATTTTTGTAAACATAAATAGAATTATACTATGTGCACTGTTTTCAAAGTTGCTTTATTCACATCACATGACACAGATATTAATATTCCGGGCCCTGCCTCCTTTCATTTTTGTTATCATTTGCCTAGCACATGTTTTTCCAACTCTTTATTTTCAGATTTTATAAATTTTTTGGCCTTGGTTTACCTCCTACAAATAACCTTTTTTTAACCAAGCTGAATGGCAGTTTAATAGAATGATTAAGAGCATGACCCTAAACATCAAAAAGCATGGGTTTGAGCATACATTCTACACTTTAAGCAAATGGCTGAATCTCTCTCAAGCTTCAGTTTTCTCACCTTTAATGTGAAACTAAAATAGAACCCATCTTGCACAGTTTGTTAGCTTCTAATAAAATTATCTATTGAAAGTGCTTAGCACAATGCCTAAAACATTGTTAATACTCACTAAATGGTAGCTATAGAGTCTGCCTTTTCATGGAGAAGTTTAACTCATTCGCGTTTAATCTGAATACTAATACTTGAGTTTATGTTTGCTACCAGATTTCATGTTTCCTATTATTATACTTTTTTTATTTTTTTCCCTTTATTTTCTCTAATTTTTGTGGAATTGATGAAGTTTTCTTTGTTCAATTTTTTCTAGTTGTTTTGGGGATTAGATAGACAGATAGATAAATATAGATAGATATCAAATATATTTAGACACAAATTTAAATTCTCTTTTTCTCCCCACAGCGGTAGTTAATCACTATCTATATGTTCCTTCTGCACTCTAGTAAGACCTTTGGCATGCTTTCACTTCTCTCCCCAGCTGCCCATTCCCACTTCCTGTGTTGAAGGCAGCTGGGGTTTTTATTCCAAATTGTTTCCCTTTTTGCATTAGGCATCAAAATTCTCTACCTTTAACTATATGATTTACTGGTTTGTTATGTTATCATTGTGTTTTTTTCGGGTCCCAGAGCTTCCTTTTTCTTTGATTAACCATTTTCATTTTGCTGGAGTGCGTCCTAAAATAATACTTTCAGAGAAGATCTCTGAATGATAAAATTCCTAAATACTTGTATATATGAAAATGTCTTTATTTTTCCCATGCTTGACTGATAGTTTGACCCAATAGAGAAGTTCAGGTGCAACATAATTTTCTCTCAGAATTTTGAACTCTGTTTTCCCCTCGGATCCAGTGCTGCTACTGAGAAGTCTGATACTAATCTAATTCTCTTTTCTTTCTTGGAACCCTGTTTCTTCCCTCTGGAATTTTCAAGAATTTTCATTTATCCTTTGGGTACTAGAGTTTACTTAATGTGTCAAAGTTTTTACTTAATGTGTGAAGTTTTTAAATTATTATTATTAATACCGCTCAGCACTGTGTGCATCTGTCTTCAGCTCTAGGAAATTTTCTTCTATTGTTTCTGTTATTGTTCGCTCCCCTTCATTCTCCGTTATCTCCTTTTGGCACATCTATTCAACTAATTTTGTAACTTAAAGGTCTATCCTCCCTGTCTTTTAGTCTATCTCTTATACTTTACATGTCTTTATCCTTTTATTTCACATTCCGAAAGAGTCCCTCACTTCCAGTTTTTAAATTCAGTCTTCAGCTATTCAGCCCACTTACTTTAAGACTGAGTTTTATTCTACAATCATACTTTAAAATTTTAGGCCCTCTAATTTTCTATTTTTCTTAGCAGCTTTTTTGGGGGGTGGGGGCTGCTGAGGAAGGTTAGCCCTGAGCTAACATCCATGCCAGTCTTCCTCTAATTTCTATGTGGGTCACCACCACAGAATGGCTGACTACTGTCCTCACCAGGGAGCCAAACCTGCAAACCCGGGCTGCCAAAGTGGAGTGCACCGAACTTAACAACTACATCATGGAGCCAGCCCCCTCTTAGGAGCTTTTTATAGACTCCTGAATCTCTCCGAGGAATTGATACTAATGCCAATATTTCCTTCCTTCCCTCTTTAATTCTACTTTCTCAGGAGTTAGTTTTTGTGTTTAGTGAGTTTGGCACCTCTCTTGTGATGCTGGTTTTTTCAAATGTTTGGTGGTTTTGTTCCTTTTATTTTGTAGATGAGAGTTTAGAAGGAACATATGTGTCGGGTGGACTAGATTTCTTCAGCTCAAGTAGGATCTCTAATTACTGGCAGCAAATTCAGGTTTTGATAGTGGAAGCTCTTCCTTAAGTGCTTTTGCAGGTTAGTCAGTCGCTCATGGTGTGTGTGGCCGACACACTTCAAGGAGGCTCCCATGATCCCCACTTCCCGGCATTCAGATCCTTTTGTGATCCCATCCTACTGAGTGTGGGTGGGTCCTGTGACTTCCTTCTACCCAATAGGATATGACAAGGTGATGGGATGTGACTGCCACGATTATGTTACATTTATAATAATTCTGTTATATTATATAATAGAACATAATTACATGCTGGCCAACTCTAGAGTCTCCCTCTCTCTCTGCATTGCTGGGTTTGAAGAAGGAAGCTGTCATAAATCTACAGCCACAAAGACATGAATTCTGGCAACAACCTCAGGAAGCTTTGAAGCAGACGCTTCTGCAGTTGAGCCTCTAACAAGAACCAAGCCCTGGCTGACATCTTGATTGCTGCCATGTGAGACCCTAAGCAGAAGACCCAGCTATGTCCAGACTCTTGACCCACAGAAACTGTGAGAAAATGTGTCTTAAGCTGCTAAGTTTGTGGTAATTTCTTATGCAGCAATAGAAGACCAATACAGTATGTTTGTCTTCTGGATGTAGGGACTCCCTTCTCTTCTTGGGGATGTTGATTACTGGGTGCGTTATCTCATTTCTCTATCCTTCTTGCCCACTCAAAGAGTTTCCCCCAGGTAAATACGCGCACACACACATGCACACTTTATCCTGGAGTCAAAGCCTGGAATCAGGGGTTCCAAATCTTTTTGCTATACAAAACACTAAGACTAAAGTACAGTGAAATAAAAATGAGTGGCCATTTTCATGGTTGAAAATGGATGCAAAAATTCCTAGATAAAATATTAGCAAATAGAATTCAACAAAACATAAAAGAATAGCAAATCATGAGCAAGTAGGATTTATTTCAAAAATGCAAAGACAACTTAGTATTAGGAAGTTATGAGAAATTATTTATCAAATTCATCAAAAAAATTAGTATATGACAAGGTAACATTTCAATTCGATGGTAAAATTATAAATTATTAAATAAATGGTATTGAGACTGCTGGCTAGCCTTTTGAGTGAATAGTTCTAGATCCTTACTTCATTTTTTATATCATAACAAATCTCAAAAGGACAAAAAAAATTTAAGTAAAAATATTACTTGGAAAAAAGATGACTTTTTAAATAAATTTGGAATAAGAAACCTTTCCAACTGTGGCACAAAATCCAGAAGCCACAAAAGAATAAAGATTAAAGACAAATAAATTGACCTGATAAAAAATTTTAAATGCATGG